GTGTACCTGAGAACAAGACGAGAAACCTTTAGGCGGTTATGAAAGAGTACTACTCATAATCATTAAGCTCGGTGCTAGGCTTGTCATTCTACTGCTAAATTTTGTGTCGTCCAAAACTACTGCACTGTACTTGTACGCCCGCACACTGTCATGTACTGAGCTTGATGAGCTTGATTCTACGCTATTCGCTCTTCCGCGCTACATTATGTTGCGCCAGACATTACTGCAATGTACGCCCACACGTCTCCCAACTAGTACAGGGCAGTATAGCTGATATCAAATGCCGTCAAACGTTCTGAAGACGTTCGCAGAGCGACTGCTCGTACATGTAGTGAGTTTTAGGTACACCTTTCCATCTAAGATATTTCTAGTGGATCTCGCTAAGTGTGTATTATGATAATAGAACTCACTCAACTGAAGCACACGGTTACAGCCAGTTGGAAAAGAAATTGTGAGAACTTCCTAGAGAAGGAGAAAACAAACAGAGCGTATTCACTGCAGCTGTTCAGTAGTCCTTCAGTTCTTCCAGTGTCAAGGAACGTCCAGCCTGTCCTTCATAAACCTGTACATGCACTGACAGAAGAACGAGCAGTTGCTGTTTGGTAACTTTGAGTTTCACAAACTGAATCGATCATTAGACGAAAATTTAACCAGTAATAGAAATTGAATGTACATACAGGTAGCGGCACTTGTCTTCCGCCATCTTGGAATACTCAAAATCTCCATTTGAACAACCCGTGTGGCTTTTTTCTCCTTCTACTATTGCCTCAAAGTTCTACTGTTTCCTTTCGTAAATAATGGTGTTGAAACTTGAAAGTAAGTGGCCTGTACGCTACAATACACTGATACATTTGACTTAGAAAATCTAAGATTTTGAGTTTTTTACACTCCATACATAATTTTATTTTCATTATTTTATTGGTTTGGTGAGACTCCCATGATAGGTATCCATTTACCTCTGGAGAATCCGTAAATAAACAAACAAACAAACAAACATACATGTAGACACAAAATAGCTGTGCGCCTTCCAAAAAAGTCAAAGAAATACAGAGAGCAGAGCTAACCTTTCTCAACGCGACGAATGTAGATAGTGCCACGGGTGCGTTTCCAGCTACTAATACTCCCAGCTGTAGCACGTATTGAGAGCTGATGTGCGGGGGAGCGCGGCGCCCACATATCTTCCAACTACGGTACATAGCAGACTAAGCGGATGACGTAAAGGTTGGTTGTACAGTGTACTTGAACTCTGTGCTTCCTGCTGCTAGGCAATCATCAGACACTTGAACTGATACTCGCATCTACCCAGCAGTATGCTTATCGTTGAATATCGACACATATAATAGGGCCATAAACAAATTCAGCGCTAAATCTGGAGACGTAATTTATGGGGAGAATGCTGGCTCAGGCAACGTCACCAGATTTATTATTATTATTATTTGTAGTCAAGTGGTTTGCTTCAATTCACTTTCCGAAGAGTCAATGAATACCCATGTAGGGCAGAGCCTTGTACACAAGAGAGAGATTGGAAGCTTTGTTACAACTCTGAGATTCACATAATACTATGATCATCAGGCAGGGGGGTTGCCTGATGATCGTAGTAATACGTGAAACTCAGAGTTGTAACAAAGCTTCCAATCTCTCTCTCTCTTTTGTATACGTGAAACTCAGAGTTGTAACAAAGCTTCCAACCTCTCTCTCTTTTGTATTATTATTATTATACGCATTCCCGATTTGAAGTGAAGCAGCAGTATGCTGCGTCCACAGCTTCGCATATGCAGAATGGTTTGGGTGAGAGGAGAGGGGAGAGAAAGCAACAAGGCAACCAACATCTATGAAATAGGTCGCAAGAACATGAAGAGAACCAACCGACATATGCATGATTGCACAAGAATGGAGACGACAAATGGCTATAATCATTGTGCCACAAAACCGGTACACAGGAGACCTGTCGACAATCTAACGAAACATAAAACTCATTTACTCAATACAGGTTCAACTAAATTAAAAGAGAACAACGCTACAACATAAGAATTGCCGCTAAATTATCGCAAGAACGAGTCCAATACAATGTACAAAATGAAAACCATGAACAGACTGTCCCGAAGTCATTTTGGGAACAAATTGTACTACATGTACTTGCTGACACTGATGCTGACGGAACACGAATTTGAGTTGAATGCACACGAAGTCTTGTACATGTACATCATTATGCGCCGGTGTTGTGGAGTAGGCAGGTACGTCAGTCACCAAACCAGCTTCAGCTCCGAGCTCGCTTCAGCAGAATGTTGACCGCGTTTGCTTTGCCTCCACACTGATAGACGACCAGCGCAGAGTCCCGCATCTCCGTGGCCGTAAGGTCTTGATATTCGCCGTTAGTGGCCTCAAGTCTCAGTCCACCTCTCACAGCAAGCCGCTCAGTGAAAACCTTTCTCTCTCCATTGGAGTGCTCCCCAGTTGCGCGAGGAGACTAGAGAAATTCCTCCGGTGAGCGAGGAAGAAGAGCGGAGTTACCCAACTCAACCAAACAAATTCCTCCGATCACCCGATTTAGCGCTAAATTTATTTATGCTTGTGGCATTATGTGTTTTAGCATACGGCAGGGGAGATCCTAGTGTCCGTTGTCTCTGATGATTGCCTAGCGGCATGAAACTCAGAGTTACAACTCGGCTGAGTCTGCTGTGTACTAAGCTCAGCCTCTGACATTGAGCACTCTCTGCAGCTCCGGGGATCAACGGATTTATCTAGCAACTAGTAAATCAATTACATGTGTATTTGGTGAAGAGGAAAAGGAAAATTAATGTTACGAGTTATGAAAAACTGTTCACCAACGCACACAGATCATACACAGTCAGCGAGTGCGACAAAATGGCATAAATCTTACCTGGACCTTTCCGAACCTGAGCCTTCCAAGTTGGAAGGTTGTTGGTTTGTGCCTTGGAGAAGTGTTAGAGCTAGGTGTCAGGTCGCCGAATGTCTCAGTACTCTTTGTCAGTTTTGTGCCATTTTGTCGCACTCGCTGATTGTTCACAGAACGACAGTTAACTGAATGACATTTCACAGACTACCTTTTTGACAGACAGCCCATTTCACAGGATACCCAATTCACCGAAAGACAGTTCACAGAGTACTGTTTTCACCGACAGCCCATTTCACCGAATTTCAGCAGGCATGCACTCAAAAATGCATTGTTTCGAAAGAAAGCAAAATATGAAGGACATGAGAGTATGCACGTGTGACATGGTCATTTACTATACACAACATTGAACGCCAAATCATGCGCTACTCCACGGAGGAACTCTCTTGGTGGTCGCTGCTCGACTGCCTATTCGACAACATTGAACGCCATATTATGTGCTACTCCACGGAGGAACTCTCTTGGTGGTCGCTGCTCGACGGGCTGTAGCAGAGCCCTCAGCCGTTCATGATTGATTGATTGATTGATTGATTTTATTTGGATTCGCGAGACCAAACGAGCAGGAGTGCTCAATAACAGGGTAGCGAATGGTTGAGTTGTGCTATGTGACAATGTAGTGTGTGCGTGGAGGGGGGGGGGGGGGGAGCTGCGGAGGCCCAATACAATGTAAGGGGATGGGAGGAGAGAAGGCCAGCGGAGAGTCAAATTCAGAAGAGGGAGGAGAGAATAGCTGAAGTACACGGTTACTGAGCGAATTCAAATAAACCAAACAAACAGCAAAACAAGTACACAGCTCACGAGAATAAAGAGGACTGGAGCACAGAATTGAACTGCTGATGTACACAGCTGACGAGAATAAAGACAGGAGCACAGAAATGAACGGGAGGCAGTCTACGAAGTGGTGGTACCATCGGTGCATGCACCACGGTACATTATCGATTGATTGATTGATTTTATTTTACTTCGCAAGTTCCAACGGGTTCCTGGCCCAGTTATATGAAAGCGAAGGATAGAATTTGCCAAAATCCTAATGAGCAACAGCATAGGCAATATTATCATAGAAGTGGAGTACTATGCGAGCGAGAATACTGAGAAGAAAGGAACATGTCAAAACCTGACGAAACACAACCTATTTCAGGCATACATAAGGAAGGCAGGCTAGCTTAAAATCTTGCAATCTGGTTACGGTGCGCACCTCTCTAGGCAAACTGTTCCACAGCAATGCTCCTGCGGTGGCGAATCTCGTTTGGCCACACCGACTGCGAGCTGGCTGGCTGAGCAGACCATTGGCATGCTGATGGCGCGTACTTCTGCCGCTGCATGCTGCTGGTTTGAGAAGCTGGGCTAGAGCAAGGCTAGTGGAGTCATTTAGACAACGCCAGATGAAGATCAGGAGCTTTTGTTTGAAAAGTTCAGTGACGCGGTAAATCGAGTTGGCAGCCAGGAGGGGCTGCATCGCGGAACATGGCGGGCTGCCATCAATGCATCGGATCGCCCTGTTTTGCATGGCTTGCAGACGCTGAAGTTGGGTCACGCGGAGGGCTGCAGAGAAGCTGCAGGCATCATATATCATATCCGGCATGACAATAGCCTTTACATATACCTTGCGCGAGCTGCGGGAGAGGCATCGACGGGCTCGCCACAAGGCGCCTATCTTCCTCGCAACTTTGGTCACTATGGCGCTGACGTGTACATCCCAACTCAGGCGGTTGTCAAGAAAGACACCAAGGTACCGCGCAGACTTCACTATCGGTAGAGAGGTATCGCAGCACACGATAGAGACCTCAGGCCCGGCATGTTGCGGTGAGATAGTCATTAGACATCCTTAGCAAAAGTACGATAACGCTAACTTTTACGGTACTCACTCCCGGCCGTGACAAAAAACGTTATCGGATAACGGAAAAACGTTACAGAGCCCAAAATAACGGGCCGACGTTCGTTATGGTAATCCTGCACAAACCGCAAAAAATTACCTGGATGCCACATGTTTTTTCAGCTGGCGGGAGATATAAACACGTGCAGATGCGGGATCGATTCCTCTTTGACTTTAGTTTGAATTGTTGTTTTGTACCAGTTCTCTTTCACCATGTCTACGTCCTCTTGTTCGTCACCCTCTGGCCCATCTGGGAAACAGAGGACTCGATTCTCGGCTGAGGACGAAATTCTCCTCTTCCGAGAAGTGCTCTCACAGGAGAGTCCATTTAGCCGTGGTTCCTGCGTCTGGGAAAAAGTCTCTAAAAACCTCAGCACGAACGAGAAATCGTTTTCGCCACGTCTCTGTCGTGATCGAATCAAAGACTTGATCAAAGAGTTCATCAGGAACGACAACAAGGAGAGGGTGAAGTAAGTACATGACGCATCATTTAGCTTTGTAGGACAGACATTCACACGTGGATATTGACTGGATGAAAAACTTTTATGTGTACTGATGTTCTAGCTGTGATCAGTTGAATGATGCATTTGTGGTTACTCTTTTGTTATTCTTTTGTGCATTATATTTTTAGAACTGGCGTGGAGGAGGAGTATTCAGAGCGTGCTCAGCTCTTGTCTGAGCTGAGAGAGTTGTACCAGGGGGAAGAAGACAAGAAGGAGGAAACGGCTAAAGCAAAGAAACGAAAAGACGCAGACACGACAATGGCGAAGGACATGCGTGAGGCGTGCATGGAGACGTACGCGCAAAGCAAGAAAAGAGTTACTCAGGGTAAGCTGTAATTAAACGTGTCCCAGATTATTTAGACGACTATGTAGCCGCTGAGATAAATAAATATTTTAATGATGGAAACTCGGAAACCCAAATTTGCGGTTTTATACTTGCACGATATGTTATGCTGGTGCCAATTCAATAAAATAGAAATGTTAACGGATACGTGTCTACTCTTTTCTTTTCTCATACTTTTCTTTGTGCAGACGGCGAGGAGGAGAATGAGGAGAAGAAACCAACGAAACGGAGAAGGATGGATGTGGCGGAAGAAGTGAGGAAGAGAACTGCCCTGAAGGAGCGAGAGCTGAATTTGAGGGAGAAGGAGTATAACCTGGCAAAAGAAAAACAAGATGTTGAGCTGGAAGAGAGAAGAATGTTCATGCGATTTATGATGGAAAAAGAAAGGAACAACCAATAAAATGAATATATATTCAAACTCTCTGCCCTTTGTCTACTGCAAATACTCTTGCAGGGTTGGGGGCTTCAATCCAAAGTATGAGGATGTCTCATTTGCGTACAGGCAGGTGTGGCAGTTAGTCAGGAGTACAGCCACACGGTAGAATGTCCCAATGGAACCATGAAGAAGTCTCTGGGCCTTCTTTAGGTCCACATAGGCGAACTTGGCTGCAACTTCAGCAAACGCCCATTCAATGGCAATACGGCATTCACTCATTTGGCTGTTGTACTGCCGTTGTGGTGGTGTTAGGTTTGCACCAGCAAAAGGAGCCTGCAGGTGCTGACGCAGGGGGTATGCTGAGTCACCATAGAGTGTAAATACATCTCCCGCATCAGGTCCTCTGGCCGGCAAATGGGCTTCAATCTGGTCAAGCAACCCACTCATTCGTAGCATAGCTGCATCATGCCGTGACCCTTCCACGGGCCCAAAGAGATGCACAACGATGCCGAACGGTGTGGTGACGCCTTGAAATTTCTGCATGTGCATGCGCTTGTGCCCACTATACCAGATCCGTTGGCCACGGGTAGGGCGTGCAATCGGCCTGCCGGTACCATCAATAAAACCCCAACAATTGGGGATCGGGCATTTGCCATGGACTGCTTCAGCTGCTTCAAGGAGGCGATCCCTGGAAAGCCACTTGCCAGGACCCACGTTCTCCACTAGGTTGGACAGCAGTCCAGACCAACGATCGTGCAGACAGGAGAGCATGCAGTTTACAATGACTGTTATGGATGACTCGCCTCGGCAAAACATCTCCTCCAGGTCGTACATTCTACCAGGATAGCTCAGCCGACGTAAAAGGATGCAAAGACCTTCTATGCCAGACCAACTCAGACGGTTTGGTGAGTTCATCTCGTCCGGAATTCCAAGAGCTTCGCAGAGTTCAGGTATGTCTTTTTTGTGAAAGCGAAACCTCTTTTTAAAATCGTGCTCAGGCAATTCCTCAAAATTGAAATCGCGCTGGCTTCGACGAAACGCAGCTTCAGCAAGCTCAGCTCCCCTGTCCTGATAGGCCAGAAGCAGCACGTCCTCCAGGTCCGAGTCTTCACACTCCATCACCAAGTCCTCCAGGTCACGTACATCGTAGTCAACCATGATGGGACAAAAAGGAAACTTGATACAAGTACACAAGACTGAAGCTAGCTTCGAAAACGAACCGGAAGCAACTCATCCCAACCTTTTACATGCATTTCCTCGTTCAAATTTTTGAATTTCCCGCGCTTGCTTCCGCAATCACTCATCGCGCCATGGTTGTCAAGACCACTTCGTCTGAACTGTATCGTAGATTTTGCTAAGGGAAAAAACAGCTTTCACGCTACCTAGTACGGTAAGCATTGCGTTTACGTTTGCGTCTTTTTAGCTAAGGATGTCTAATACCTGGCTTTTGGAGGCATTGAAAATTAGGCCGCGTGACTTAAAGGGGAACTGTCACCAAAAAAATTCCTTGTCTTATCTTGTAGTTCTTTGGCTCCTGATCACGATGGTGTTATCCGTTTTTCTCTGCGATGGCTGGAAGTGGGTGAAAACTTGAAAAGAAGGTGCCCAAAATTGTCCCGAAGTACCGAGTGACGTCACGCCGGACTTGACCTCCACGCGTACATTCGTCGTCAAAAACGAAATCCAGCCCGTGTGCTCGTCGATCGAGCTAGCTGTTCCAATGTACCATGTGTACGGTGCACGTGTGCCTTTTGAACTGTAACACAGATGGGTACGTCGTACCGAAGGAGAATGCCAAAGAGGCAGAGACCCACGTGCAGCTACACAGCCAAATCAAAATAAAAAGCAGCTGAGCTTTCACCTTTTTGACTTCTTCCGCGAGAATCTAAGTTTTATTTTGTGAGCACGGAAGTACGTCGTTGTTTTGAACTTTTCGTGTGAGGAACAACACGATGATGAGTGCGTATGCAGAAAACAGTACTCCTCCGGCCGGCGATAACACCACCAACCCGAGCCCCAAAGGAACGCAATGTAGTTACGTGAAGGCGATTCATCTGGCGATGTTGCTCAAGATGCAGATGACGAACTCCGACGTCTTTCATTTCAGAGCCGGGTGGGCAACATCGCCACCTTCGATACCACGACATCATTTTCAAGTACGAGGTATGTGTGTCACACTAACAGCAAACAAACATCCTTCCACTCCTTCGTAATCACAAATAAAACAAAGAGCTGGAGCTTCGTGGAGGAAGTACCAGTGCGACAAACTGCAGTCGACTTTTGTTTATTTTGTCCCTTTTTGGCGTTCTCATTGTGTACAACGTACACATCGAGTGTCCGAGTTCAGAAGGCAAGCGTGCACCGTACATCGAACAGTTGGCTCGATCGACGAGCACACGGGCTGGACTTCGTTTTTGACGATGAAAGTACGCGTGGAGGTCAAGTGCGGCGTGACGTCACTCGGTACTTCGGGACAATTTTGGGCACCTTCTTTTCAAGTTTTCACCCACTTCCAGTCATCGCAGAGAAAAACGAATAACACCATCGTGATCAGGAGCCAAAGAGCTACAAGATAAGACAAAGAAAAATTTTGGTGACAGTTCCCCTTTAAGCCATATGGCGAGATCAGTGACAGCTGAAGAGACGGATTTGGAGACTTCCCCAGCGGAAGCTTTTGAATCATACAGAGCAATGTCGTCTGCAAATTGCACGCTGGGTATTGGCGATGAGACCGATTTCACATCACGGGTGTAGACGTTAAAGAGAACAGGCCCCAAGACGGAGCCTTGGGGCACACCACAGGTGCAGTCTAGAGCACGACTTGTGGCCGAAGCGACTGTAACTTGCTGCCTGCGATCTGTCAGGTAATTCGCGAACCACTTCAGGGCGACACCAGAGATGCCAACGTCAAAAAGGTCTTGGATGAGGATACCATGTCGGACTTTGTCAAAAGCCTTGGACATGTCGAGGAGGCACAGCCCAGTTACCAGACCACTGTCCTTCGCCTTCTGCAAGCTGTCCGTGAGAACACAGAGGGCATCCTCAGTGGAGCACTTCTTCCTGAAAGCAAACTGAGAATCAGGTAGGGCATTACTCAAGTCTAGATGGCGAACTAGCTGACGCTGCACCACTCTCTCCAACAGCTTTGAGGCAACTGGAAGGAGGGAAACAGGGCGATAATTGGTGGGGACTGATGGGTCCCCGGTCTTGTAAAGCGGTACAACGGTCGCCAGCTTGAACGCCAAAGGAACCGTGCCAGTACGGAGGGAAGTGCAAAACAGTACTGCTAAAGAGTATGCCAATAAATCGGAACACTCCCGCAATAGCGAACCCGGTATGCCGTCACTTCCCGTAGCTTTGCGAGCATCTACCTGCTGAAGGAGACGTTGAACGTCCGATGGAGTTACAGGGGAGAACTCGGTTAGGGAGACAGGCCCGTTGGGGCCACACGGAACGCCGAGATGGTCGGGTTGGTTTGTGTCTGTAACAATAGAGTGGAACGTGTTGCTGATCTCATGGACGTCGCAGCACGGATCTTGACGGCACCGTGAGCGCCCTGTCACGGCATTGAGAATTTCCCAGGACTTTCTTGGGTTACCAGCATTCTCTTTGCACTGGGTGGCGAAGTACGCATTTTGCTTTTGTCGAGAAGCGTTCCGAGCAATGCTACGTGCTCGTTTGAACTAAGTGTGAAGATTTCCATTCGTTTTGTCCTGTCTCCAAAGTTTATGAATGCGACGTTTTCGCTGCATTAGCCTGTGTAGTTCTGCGTCTACCCACCGTGGTGTGGACTGTCTGGGATGCTTTGAGTTACATAGGGGGGCATGCTTATCCATAACGTGCATAAACTTGGCATGCCATTCTCTCCACATGATATTTACATCATTGAAGTCAGAAAAGTCATGTAGGTTGGCCTCACAGGTATCATGACGGAACGCGGTTCTGTCTTTCTTATGGATTCTTCGCATGTGCCTTGGGGCCTGCCGTGTAGTCCGGGGAACATCGACCTGGATATTGCACTCCACGGCACTATGATCACTGATATCAAGAGGTACGACAGTAGCTACAGTTGCATGGGTAGGGTCAGCCAGAATGAGATCAATTATAGTACCATTCGGACAGCGGGGAGTTTCACGAGTGGGTTCTCTAACGATGTACTTGAGGCCATAGGCGGCACAGAGGTCACTGAGATAGTGATGCTGGGGACCAGGCTGTTTTGGGTCCATGTTGACGTTGAAGTCACCAACCATTGTAATGGAGGCCGATTGCAGCTTGGCACGCAGGATCACCGCTTCTAGGTCTGTCCAGTAAGATACTGATTCCCCGGGGGGACGGTAGATACAACCAATCAAGTGGCAGCCAAGTGGACCTTTAATTTCCAACCAAGCAGACTCGATCTTGTCGGAATGAAGGTCAGAACGGGCTCCAATAGGAAGGTCTTGGTGGTAATAAAAGCAGACCCCACCACCCATCCGGCCGTGCCTGTCATTACGGTGTAAATTGTAACCATGGATACTAAGTTCTCCGTCTGCAATTTCGGGACTCAGCCACGTCTCCGAGATACCCAAGACATCGTAGCTGCGGTCGCCGATGAGGGCAGCTACTTCTGCACGCTTGTACCGTAGGCTACATATGTTTAGGGCGCCGATCTTGAGAGGCGCAGCGGTCTGGGTAGGTGGAGGGTGTACTGAAGGTGACTGTGCATGCGGAGTGGCAGGATTCCTAGGGGAGAAGGGTTTGGCAAGAGGGTTCAGCGGCATGAGTGTTCAGGAGGAGATAATTTACAGAAGAAAACGGTATATACAAATAGAGCAATAGATGGGCTGGGTTCATAGAACGTGGACAGTATTCAACGAGTACTTACTCAGTGGCATCCTTTGCGGGCAGCTTCAACTCTCTCTGCCAGCTTCTAGCGCTCACGGTTTGAATACTCCTTAGCCCACGCAATTTGCGGGTCGTTCAAGGCAGAGGCAGGTGGTTCAGTGCGCCCGGATAAGACAGTGGCGGAGACTACACATTGCTGA